AGCAGGTCACAGTATACAGCTCGAATTTGTAACAATGTTTGGCTTTTCATTGTGTGTGTTTATTTTTCATATTTATCTTCTAGTTATGGCAGGTGATACTAGTTTTCCATTTATGGTTTGTTGTTATTAGGTGCCATCGAGTTGATTTTCAACTCACGTGACAGAACAGAACTGCCCCATAGGGTTTTCTAGGCTGTTATCTTTATGGAAGGAGCCCTGGTGGCACAATGGTTAAGTGTTTTGCTGCTAACCCAAAGGTCAGGGTTTGAACCCACCAGTGGCTCCGCAGGAGAAAAGACCTGGTGATCTGCTCCTGTAAAGATTACAGCCTAGGAAACCCTATGGGTAGTTCTACTCTGTCACATGGGGTCTCTGTGAGTCGAAATTGATTTGATGGCACACAACAATAACAACAACAGTCTTTATGGGGACAGATCGCCAGGTCTTTCTCCCTTGGAGCTGCTGGATGGGTTCAAACTGCCAACCTTTCACCAACAGACCAGTTACCTTTGAGTCAGTTCCGACTCACGGTGACCTCATGTGTGTCAGAGTAGACCTGTGCTCCATAGGGTTTTCAGTGACTAATTTTTTTGAAAGTAGGCCTTTCTTCTGGGGCACTTCTAGGTGGACTCAAACCTCCAACCTTTTGGTTAGCAGCTGAGCGCGTTAGCCATTTGCACCACCCAGGGACTCTGTTTGGGTCCCCACAGGACCTGAAATAGTACTTTTTACCAAGTGGGTACTTAATAAATACTTAGGAATTTAGCTGGAAAAAAACCACTTAGTTGGAATAGGTAATATATGCACAATGTAAAGAATTCAAATCTTACTAGAGGGTGTGCAAGAAAGGTCTCCCTCTTTCCCATCCCCAAAGGGAACCAGTGGCACCAGCCAGTTGGGAGCTTTCTGTGCATTTCTTGCAAATGCAGTTGCAGTTATTTGTATGTGTCCTCTTGCTTTCATGCAAGGAGTAGTATCCTGAACACACCATTCAGCCCCTTGCTTTTTTTTTTTTTTCCAAATTTTATCATGGTACAATATATATAATATTTGCTATTTCAACCCTTTTTAGGTGTATATGCTGGAAAAGTTCCAGACTCCCACTTCTCACTTCCCTGCCACTTCCGTTGACTCCATTTGCACCTGCAGCACTTCCTTCTGTGACCCTGACCATCTGGGGCGAGGTCAGAGCTCACAAGTTACAGGGCACAGTCCCCCAGACTGCCAAGTCTGCCCCAGACCTCAGACACTAGCTGCAAGCTAGGGAGTCCCCACGACACCCTCACTTCTGACCTGCTGGCTACAAGTTCGGAGGGCCTTTCTGCTCTCTCAGGATACCAGCCATCAGCTCAAGGGTCCCCGTTCCCCCTCAGTTCTGACCTGCTGGCTCTCACTACTCTCTCAGGTTTGATAATTTGCTGGAAGGACTCATAGAACCTATGGAAAGCACTATACTTACAATTACTTTATCATTACAACCGAAAAGATAACAAATAACGAGAGGTACCGGGCCAGGTCTGGGAGAATCCCAGCGTGGAGCTTCCGTGCCCCACAAAAGGGACTGGCTGCCCTCCCATGTGCATAGATGTCTTTGCCAACCAGGAAACCCACAGAGCTTCCATGTCCAGAGCTTCTATGGGGGGGGGGGTCTCATTATGTAATTCAAACTCCAGCCCCTCTCCCCTGAGGTCAGTTGATATCACCAGGCGATTAGCATAACCTGTTAGGCTAGGTGTGGTCTGAAGCCCTAATCAAAGATATTTGTGATTTCTGGGGAAATTCCAAGGCTTTAGAGGTTGTCTTTCTGGATCCAAGGGCAAAAAACCAATTCTTTGGGTAAAGTTCATGGAAAGCCCACAGTACAATTCAGTGACATTAATGACATTCACGTGTACAAACATCACCACTGTTCATTTCTAAATGTTTTCATCACCTCAAATAGAAACTCAGTATCCTTAATCACTGACTCCCATTTCCCTCTCCCACTGGGCCCTGGTAACCACTAATCAACTTTTCTGTATTTGTCTATTTTAGATATTTCATACGATATTTGTCCTTTGGTGTCTGATGTATTTTACTCAGCATAATGTCTTCCAGGTTTGTCTATGGCGTAGCATGTATCAGAACTCCATTTCTCTCTGTGACTGAGCAGTACCCCATTGTATGTTCATACCACATTGTTTTTATCCATTCGTCGTTTGAATGACACTGGGGTTGCTTTCACCTTCTGGCTATTGTGAATCAAGTGCTGCAGTGAACATGGATACAAATACCAGTTTGAGTCTGTGATTTCTAGTCTTAGCCCCTGCTTTTCTTTTTTTGTTTTTTAAGTCCAGGTGGGATTTATTTGGCTTAAGAAAACATCTACACTCAGAGAACACACACTTGTATTTATTATGTTGAATCATAATTGTTTGTTGACTGTCCCTTCTTGAAGCTCTTAGAGTACTTAAGAGCAACGACTTTCGCTTATTCATCAGTGTGTCTCTGAAAGTCTACTACAGTACTTAGGATTTATTAGGTACTCGGTAAATATTTGTTGAATTATAATATACATGAAAAAAAATGACTGAGTCCCCAGTTTTTGAGTTTTGGAAGACAGTTCCTAAAGCAGAATTTGTACACTGGAAAAATGGCTGGTAATTGTTTAGAAAGAAACAATACTAATATTCATATATCAACCCTGGTTCACTTGATTTTAAGTCATACTAATGCCCAAACAAAGGAGTCCTGGGTGGTGCAAATGTTTAAGCACTCTGCTGCCAACCAAAAGGTTGGCAATTTGAATCCATACAGACGTGCTTCTGAAGAAAGGCCTGGCAATCTTCATCTGAAAGATCACAGCCATTGAAAACCCAATGGAGCACATTTCTACTCTGGAACACATGAGCCCCTTGTGTTTTGATTTACCGTGTCTTGCAAACAGGACAACTCTGGGGCACACAGCTCTCCCTCATCCGTTACAGGCTGACAGGAATTCCACTTCATGGATGGTCCCTGTTTATTTAACCCACCCCTAGTCTCTTGCTCCTGCAGTCCTGGCCTGGTCTCTTAACCTGGTATCTTGATGTGTGGAACCTTCTGCTAAAACAAAAATAGAAAAAAAAATCACATAAGCAACCAACCTGACTATGTGGTTCTCTCAAATTCATCTTCCGTCTTCTATTAGAAAATAGGGAAACCCTGGTGGCGTAGTGGTTAAGAGTTCGGCTGCTAACCAAAAAAGGTCAGCAGTTCGAATCCACCAGGTTCTCCTTGGAAACCCTATGGGACAGTTCTACTCTGTCCTATAGGGTTGTTATGAGACTGGATGGCAACAGGTTTTACAGGTATTAGAAGATACAGCTATGGGATCCATCTTTACAGGAGTATTATAGAATGGGGAGAGAATTACTGGCTCACTGATGGGTCAGTCATGACCATCAGGATGATTTCTGCAAATAGAGTGCAGTGCTTCCTGTCAAATAAATCCTCCCGCCTTCCCTCCCTCTCTCTTTATTCTGCTTCCCTCCCCTGCTCCCTCCCTCCCTCTGCCTCCTTTTCTGCCTCTCTCCGCCTCCGCCTCCCTTCTCGTCCTATCTGTCCCTCTCTCTTTATTCTCACTTCCTCCTTTTCCTCCCTCCCTCCTCTCTCTCCCTCCCTTCCCTCCCTCCTGCTTCCTTGCTGCTAACGCTTCGTACCTAAGTGTCTACCTCACACCTGAGTGCCACCATAGGCCAGGGTGGTGATTTGCACCCGGAAGCAGGGACGGGGAGGAGAGGTTGGGCTCCTCCAGGCCTGTGTGGGCCTCTCTGGCCTTCGCACAAACGTAGCCGGAGGCCAGCAGGAATGTTTTCCTAGAAGTGAAACCTGTCCTTATCAGAGCACCAGTTACTGGAATGAGGATGCTGTTTTTAGGAAGGAGCATTGTGTTTCCTCATGGAAATGTTGAGCGGCTGAGACAGGCGGCTCGCTGGCTCACTGATCTTTAGGTTACTGATGCACAGGGATCTTGTTTGCCCTGCTCTGTATCCTTGCAACCCACCGGGGCCTGGCCTGCAGGAGGAAGTGGGGAAGGAGGGTCCTCGGTGGACAAGTAATCATGTAAGTCGTAATTGCCTCTGTCTGCGTGGTTTCACGTCAGCTGGCAAAGTCTCCAGGGGCTGACAGGACCGGTTTCTCTGTCCCGTCTGTGTGTGCTGCGCCTGTGTGTGCTGAGGCTGGGGGTGAACCGTTCAGTTCTGCTCTTCATTGCAGCGCTTAAGGGGACCTCAATTCTGGAAACGCCTTGTTTACAGGTTTTCCCAAAGTACAAGCTGCCTCTCTTTTGAGGGTTCTCAGAACAGCTTTGTTTTGCCAGAGCAGTCTGGTTTTCCAGGTGACCTGGGATGGGCGTGCGAGTGGGTGGTGCAAATGAGCCGCGCTCTAGGGAGAGCAAGGTGGCTGGGGGCACCAGGGCTCTGGCAGGCTGGCCGGTCTCCAGGTTATATTGGCCCTGAGACACCATCTTTCTAGCTTGCTCATCCAGCGCGTGCTGAAAAGGAGAGCCAGGGGTGGAGATTTTTTCCCCCCTTTTCCTTTATGTAATAACCTTGGACAGCATGGGGTGGCAGAAAGACACTAGGTGGTGGAATAAGACAGGCACGGTTCGAGGGCAGCCTCGGCTGTTTCTCACATCGTCGTAAACATGGATGCTTTATTTATTCCCTTTTTCCCTCTGTACAATTAGGGTAATAATAGTACTGGCTATGTATTTACCTTTTTAAACTTAAAACTTATTGTTTTCAAATGAATCCCACTTTTTATAAAATAAATGATTTGGGTTTGGGGGAAATTAATCGGACGACAGCTTTTTAGCAGTCTCAGCTGTTTCCCCGCCCCAGTAAGGATGAAGCCCCATATGTGGTCCTGACCGCGTGAAGACACTGTAGAGAAAAACATTCATGATCCATGTTTCCTGAGAAAGAAGAGTGGACAGAGGTGAGCGTGGCCTTGACTGTGTGGGTGTGTCTTTCCAACAGGTGCTGCGAATGGCTGAGATGCTGTGGTGGAGGGGAGCCCAGGCCCCGCACTGTCTGGTTGGGACACCCAGAGAAAAGGGACCAGAGGTACCCTCGAAATGTCATCAATAACCAGAAGTACAACTTCTTTACCTTCCTTCCTGGAGTAAGTACATACAGGCACCATGCACTTTGTTTCTTCCCACCGCAAAAACATCATGGTACCAGTCTTAGATGTTTTGCGAACATCCTGGGTCTTCTCGTGCCTCCTTAGCCACTGGTCCTCCATCTTTCCTGAGCACCTGGAGGGGGCTGGTGTGTCTCTGCAAGGCTGCTAAGTACGGTTAGAATAACTTCATATTTGTTTATTTAGAGGGGAAAAGATATTTTGGGGACCTAGCATTATATACAAGACACCACACAAAATAAGTGCTTAGAAATTTTTACAATATTTTAATATATTTTATATTTTTGATATGAGACACATATTAAGTATATAGTATGCATGCAAAAGCTGGACAGTGATAAGGAAGACCGAAGAAGAATTGATGCCTTTGAATTATGGTGTTGGCAAAGAATATTGAATATACCACGGACTGCCAAAAGAATGAACAAGTCTGTCTCAGAAGAAATATAGCCAGAGTGTTCCTTGGAAGCGAGGATGGTGAGCCTTTATCTCATGTAGTTTGAACATGTTATCGGGAGGGACCCGTCCCTGGAGAAGGACGTTATCCTTGGTAAAGTAGAAGGTCACTGAAAAAGAGGAAGACCCTTCATGAGGTGGATTGATGCAGTGGCTGCAACCGTGGGCTCAAACGTAACGACGGTTGTGAGGATGGCACAGGACAGGGCAGTGTTTCATTCTGTTGTACGTAGGGTCGCTGTGAGTCGGAATTGACTTAATAGCACCTAAGAACAACAACAAACATATTAAATGTAGATAAGTTGGGAGATAAGAAAAATAAAGGCGAATTTTAATCCTACCATCTAGAGAGGGAATTCCTATTAAAATATCTGTTAATATAAGTTTCTATTTTGCTTATTATTTTACTCTGGAGTTATAGTGTTCCCACATTAACTTATACAGATCCGGGTATGCGTACTTAGCAAACCTTCTCTCAAACACACACATAAATTGAATACCTATTTTTATCCAGCCTAGTCTCCAAGCACGTGGAGCAGCAGCAACAGTCAGCTCCAATGCTGGAAGGAAAAAAATGGCAGTGTTAGATATTGAGTCTTAATACAGACACACGAATGTATTATACAGGCAGTCCCCAGGTATGAACGAAATCCATTCCTGAGTCTGTCTTTAAGTCGAATTTGTAGGTAAGTCAGAACAGATACATACGGTTCTTATTTAGTGTCAGTCAGTCGAATGTTTGTCTTTGTATAAAAACCTGAAAAAAAACCTGTTGCTGTTGAGTCAATTCTGACTCATAGATACCCTATAGGACAGAGTAGAATTGCCCCATAAGGTTTCCAAGGAGCGGCTGACGGATTTGACTTTTTGGTTAGCAGCTGAGTTCTTAACCACTGCGCCACCAGGGCTCCTTACTGTAGTATATAGTATATATTTTACCTTTCTATGCATATAAAACACTTAAACACTTCCAAACCGCGCAGTGTTTTCATGAGCGTCACAAAGTAGTGTGGGTTCATTATTACAAACCATTGTATTTAATTCAAATTTTTAATATAATAGGCTTTCTAGCAGTCTGTTCTCAAGTACGTTTGTAGCCCAGAGACTGCCTGTACTGTAGTTTTGAGGTCAATTTAGATGTTTATTTTAAGGGTGATTTTGACCATACATCCTGATAGTTGTCTCAACCTACAGCCCCCCAAAATCTCAGTATCTGAAGACAAAAATGGTTGGTTTTTCATTCATGTATAGTTTGAAAGAGCTGCATCATCTGGACCACAAGGCCAGCAAGCTCTCTACGTGGCAGGGCAAGAGCAACATGACCAAGGCGCACCAATTGTTAACTGCCTTAGCCTTGAAGAGACACGTCACTTCCTCTCATAGCCCATTGGCCAAAACTAGCCATGTGGCGGCAGTCTCACCCCCAGGGAGAAGGGAAATGGAGAGAGCATGTAGGGGAGACCATACCTCTTGCCAGAACCCAACTGCTGTACAGGATGGGATTCTGCTGTATTTTGTTTATGGCGTTGACATCGTATTGTGGGTATAGCTTTTTTCTCATCTCGCAATTTTTTGATTCAACCTTACAGCGTAAGCATTTCCCACAAAAACTTCTTCCTGGGCAACATTTTTAATGGCCTACCTATACTTAAAGGGACCTGGTGGTGCTGTGGTTAAGCGCTTGGCTGTTAACCGAAAGGTCAGCGGTTCAAACCCACCAACTGCTCCATGGGAGAAAGATGTGGCGGTCTGCTTCCATAAAGATTACAGCCTAGGAAACCCTATGAGGCAGTTCTATCCCATTGCTATGAGTCGGAATCTATGAGTTAGAATCATCTTGGTGGCAGTGGGTTGTGTTTGCTTTCTTGTACTTACAAATTATACAGCTTAAGAAATACAACATAACATATTACGGTGGCACTCCCTGCGTGCTGTTCCCCAGCTGTATCCCTTCTCCTGCCTAGAGGGAACCACTGTCTGAAATTTGGTGTTGATAATACTGGACTGCCAAAAGAACGAACAAATCTGTCTTGGAAGAAGTACAGCCAGAATGCTCCTTAGAAGCAAGGAAGGATGGCGAGATTACGTTTCACATACTTTGGACATGTTATCATGAGGGATCAGTCCCTGGAGGAAGACATCATGCTTAGTAAAATAGAGGGTCAGCAAAAAAGAGGAAGACCCTCAACCAGATGGATTGACACAGTGGCTGCAACAATGGGCTCAAGCATAACAACCATTGTGAGGATGGCACAGGACCGGGCAGTGTTTCGTTCTGTTGTACACAGGGTTGCTATGAGTCAGAACCGACTCGATGGCACCTAATAACCACAACAATATCCTTGTGTATTAGTATTTATTTATTTATTTTTTAACTTGCATAATTTACGTTTTTATTTACCTGTATATGTTTTGCTAAACAACATAGGTATATTTTTAAGCTGTATTGTGAAAAGTATCATGTAAATCATAATCTTCTGCAGGAATGCTTTTAAATATTGCTTCTCTCTCTCTAAACCTGCTAAACCTTATCAGGCGAAGCCTCTTCATTCTCTCTCTGTACGTTCCAGGTGCTGTTCAACCAGTTCAAATACTTTTTCAACCTCTATTTCTTGCTTCTGGCCTGCTCCCAGTTCGTTCCTGAAATGAGACTCGGCGCACTCTACACCTACTGGGTCCCCCTGGTGAGTAAGTCGGCATCATTTTTCAGTAACCTCAGAGAGTTAGAGGCAGGGATTTCTTTGTTTCTTTCACATGTGTGTCTGGAATAGGCTAGTGACTTTTTTGTTTTTAAATAATATTTTATTGTGTTTTCAGTGAAAGTTTACACAGCAACTTAGATTCCCATTTGACAATTTCTACCCGAGTTGTTCAGTGACATTAGTTACATTTTTCACAATGTGTCAGCGTTCTCATTAATTGCATTCTGGTCGTTCTGTTTCCAGTACTCTAGTTTCCCTGTCCCCCTTGTCCTCTCACCTTTGCTTTAGAGTAATTGTTGGCCTTTTGGTCTCATATACGTGGTTTTTTAATGGAGCCATACAGTCATAGCTAATGTCCTTTATTTTGTGTGCCAATCTGTTATTTCGCTAAAAGGTGACCTCAGGATAGTTTCGGTTTGAATAGGCTAGTGACTTTTTAAGGGAGAAGATGCCCTCAAGCCAACACATTGGGAGTCTCTGAGATTTCCGTGTTGAAGCTTCCTCTTGTATACCACCAGGATCAAAACACAGCAAAGCTTATGCCATTCATTCATTCATTCATTCAGCTGTTCTGTCATGCATTATTGCAACACCTATTTATTGCATGCTTACTTTATATTGGCATAGTTCTAGACTCTAAGGACACAGTGGCGAATGAGGAAGACAAAGTGTCTGCCTCAGTGAGTGGTGTTATTTGAACTGTTTGTCTAGGTCACAGTTTCTGTTGACTCTGTGTAGAGTATTTCAGGCTGAGGGTCCAGAAGAGTGACAGAATCTGTGCTCTAGTGTGCACTAAGTGTCACACAGTGGACCAGCTCCTCCATCCCTTCCCTCGCCTCATTTTTCACCTTTCTTCCCTTTGGCAAATGGTTATTGAGTACCTGCTGTGTGCCAGGCACCGCGCTGGGTGCTGCGCATGCAGCAGTGAACGTAACAGTTCAGACATCCCTGTCCTTGTGGAGCTGACATTTGAAAGGGGATAAACAATAAACAGAGAAACAAGCAGAATCGTTGTAGATTGTAAAAAGTATGATGACGGTAATAAGATAACATCATAGGATAGACAGGGTATCCCAGGCACATAGCCAGCGCCCTGTTGATGTATGAAAGTGTGTGTGTGTGTGTGTGTGTCAGGTGCTGTTGAGTGAGTGCCAACTCATAGTGACCCTGTGTATAACAGAACAAAACATTGCCTAGTCCTGCACCATCCTCACAGTCATTGCTGTATTCGAGCCCATGTCAGTCTGTCTCATTGAGGGTCTTCCTCTTTTTTGATGACCCTCTGCTTTACCAAGCATGATGTCCTTCTCCAGGGACTGGTCCTTCCTGATAGCAGGGTGAAAGTGGGAGTGGGAAAGTGAAGGGTAACCTTGTCCAGGGTGACCACAAAAGGTCTCTTGAGGTGACATGGGAATGGGGGTGGGAGAGTGGGGAGTATTCCAGGACCAGGGAACAGCTATGCAAAGGCCCTGTGGTAGACCCATGCTTAGAGCATTGGAGGAACAGAAAGAAGCCCAGGGTTGGCCAGGGTGTGGAGAGGGTGGAAGTGATCGTTTCTTATTCTCCAAACAGAGACTGAAACGTAATTGCTGTTTATTTCTAACCAAGTTGGAACACTTGGATTTTCTGTTTAAAAGCCTTAATCAAGATTTTTAAAGTGGAAAAGATTTAAGACTTCCTTAAAGAAAACAAAACAAAACATTTTAGTTTTATTTACTTGTTTTTTTGGTGGCAGGTAGAAGATGGTAAGGATTTGGTGCAGAGGTGTTTGTGGAGTGGGGGAGCCAGCTGCTAAGGGACCCATGAGCAGGTGTACATAGACTGTGCATGCCACGTTATCAGACAAGTTGCACCCAGCAGCTCTGGCCTTGAGAAGAGGGGAAAAAAAAACATACCCATTGCCATCGAGTCAATTCCGACTTATAGCAACCCTCCAGGACGGAGTAGAACTGCGCCATAGGGTTTCCAAGGCTGTTATCTTTCTGGGAACAGATCGCCAAGTCTTTTCTCCCACGGAGTGGTTGGTGGGTTCAAATGCTGGCCTTTTGGTTAATAGCCGAGTGCTTAATTACTGCACCACTAGAGCTCCTTCTGAGAAGAGGAGGGGAACTTTATTTTTTTCACATAGTCAACAGTTGTCCTTTGGGGATGTGAGAACAGTTCTTTTCCTGCTCTGGTTCATCTGTGGGTGAGATAAGGTGCTAGAAGCTGGAGAGAACATTTCTCCAAGCATTCATCCCCTTGGGTAACAGACGTTCTTGTCCATGCCAGGCAGGTGGTGGGCTCTTAGATAGTGAACCTGGTGATTATCAGGAAGCTGTTGCCTTCACCTTGCAAATTGATGTTGTCAAAGGGGCCAATCCAAGCTGGTAGAATAAAGCCTTGGGAAGAACTGGCGGGCTCAGGTCTCATCTAAAAGTGGGCAGGTGCTTCTCAGTTCCATCAGGTACAAACATGGACCCAGTGTTGCCAGATCCAAGGTTAGAAACTTTAGATTTTTGCGTGAAATACCTTAATTTTCTTTTAGTCTCTTAGCTCCACAACTGTTTATTACATACATCTACAAAGGAGCCCTGATGGCGCAGTGGTTAAAAGCTTGGCTGCTAACCGAAAGGTTGGTGGTTCGAACCCACCAGCCTCTGGCTCTGTGGGAGAAAGATGTGGCAATCTGCTTCCATAAAGATTACAGCCTTAGAAACCGAAACCCTATGGGGCAGTTCTACTCTGTGCTGTAGGGCCACTGTGAGTCAGAATCGACTCAACAGCGACAGGTTTGGTTTGGTTTTGGTATAAAGATACTTCTAGTAAGTTATAGTACTAATCTTAAAAAGTTAGTCTATAATGTATATATAATATCATATATCAGATGGCCTTTTAACATGTAGTGATTTAAAAGGTAATACATTCAAGTAACTTTACCATATATGTAATGTAAGTGCATGTGTTAATAAATTGAGATCACAGGTTGTCCATGAAGGCAGCTGTGTGCTCCCTCCCCCCGGCCCTTTGTCTCTGGCGTGATAAATGCAATCGAGTCTGTGATCTCTCTCCTTGAATTATCCATCTGCCCAGCGTGTAGCATAATCCCCCACCTCATCATCCAGACTCTCTCAGGATACAGACTTTAGTATCCCTGCAACCTCATTTACATTACAATTGGCGTTTATGGTGGGGAAGGGACTTTAGCCACATTTGGCAGACACTTTTTATTCTCTAAACTAAGAATCATGTAGATATGGCTAAGGGGAGATGGAATTATGCAGGGATTTAAATGACTGAGAACCAGCTGGGTAGGAAAGAGGTGGACTCTGCTGATTCTTCCAAAATAGGTTGTTGGGGGTACCTGTGGACTGGAGGGAAATGGACTGATGGGAAAAGGGTTCCTCATTAGACAAACGAGCACATGGGGCCCAAGGAGAATAAGGAACTTGCCAGTAATCACACCAGGATATGAAAAGTATTTTGGATTTACAGAGATGGGGACTCTTTTTCTCCATGGAGAGGAGTTTGGAATATTGGAGAGGGCTTTGGGATGTGTGTGTGGTGTAGAGTGCACCAGGATATTCCTTAAAAAACCAAAAAAACCAAACCCATTGCCGTTGAGTTGATTCCAGCTTATAGCAACCCTATACGACACAGTGGAACTGCCCCATAGGGTTTCCAAGGCTGTAATCTTTATGGAAGCAGACTGCCACATCTTTCTACGAGTGGCTTGTGGGTTCGAACCAATGACCTTTCAGTTAGCAGCTGAGCACTTAACCACCGTGCCACCAGAGCTCCTCCTAGGATGTTCCTTACAGTATGGTTTATATTACTAAAATGTTATTGTTGGCTGCCGTCGAGTTGGCCCCTGACTCATGGCGACCCCACACACAATGGGATGAACTGCTGCCCGGTCCTGCACCATCCCCGTGATTGGTTATGTATCAGATGTTTGTGATCCATAGGGTTTTCATTTAGCTGATTTTTGGAAGTTGATTGCCAGGCCTTTCTTCTTAGTCCATTTTAGTATGGAAGCTCCGCTGAAGCCTGTTCAGTATCATAGCAACACACAAACCTCCACTAACAGGTGTTGGCTGCACACGAGGTGCGTCAGCCAGGAATTGAACCAGGGCCTCCTGCGTAGTAAGCAAGAATTCTACCAGTGAAGCACTAGTGCCCTTTCTAAAACGTTAGCAACAAGCAAAAGCCGGTCAGTAGTCACCTAAAGGCTGGTATCGCTATACTATGGAAGTTGGAAACGATGAAGTAGCTATATCTGTATTGACGTGAGAAGATGCAAATCTTTTTTTTTTTAATTGTGCATTAGGTGAAAGTTTACAGAGCAAATTAGATTCCCATTTGATAGTTTGTACATAAAGTGTTTCTTAGCCTTGGTTTCATTCCCCACAATGTGTCAGCACTCTCCCCATTTCCACTCTGGGTTCCCCGTTTCTTTTTGTCATGATTTCCTACCCCTTCCTGCCTTCTCATCTTTACTTTTGGGCAAATATTGCCCTTTTGACCTCTTATAATTGATTGTTCTAAGGATATATTCCTCCCGGGTGTTATTGTTTCTTTTATGGGCTTGTCTGTTGTTTGGCTAGGAGGTGGTCTCTGGAAATGACTTCAGTTCTAGGTCAGAAGGGTGTCTTAGGGCCGTAGCTGTAGGGGTTCCTCCAGTCTCTGTCACACTGGTAAGTCTGGTCTTTTTTATGAATTTGTTGTGATCCCAGTCAGAGCAGTGAGTAGCAGTAGCCGGGCGCCATCTAGTTCTGGTCTTGGGGCATATTTTCATTACATGAGAAAAAGTAAGTTACAGAATAACATGAACAAAATCCAAAAACCAAACTCGTTGCCGTCAAGTTGTTTCCAACTCATAGTGACCCAGTAGGACAGAGTAGAATGCCCTATAGGGTTTCCAAGGAGTGGCTGGCGGGTTTGAACTGCTGAGCTTTTGGTTAGCAGGCGAGCTCTTAACCACTGCACCACCAGGGCAGTGA